TTATCTAATGATAAACATCTGAGGAAAACTGGAGAGTGTACTGGCTGAAATGATATGATAACGACAACAATGATTAAGATGCTAGCCTAAATAATTTGTAGAATAAATTTAGATTCATTATTTTTGTTTTCAAAATAACTTTAATCTTCAAAGTAAAATGCAACAATTTTTGTAAGTAATCAATAACTTTTTGAAAAAGTTAAATTATTCCTTTTAGACACAAGATGAAAGCTTTTACAAATTAAAAAAAATTGTTATTTGTGATTTCAGAGTAAATTGGCTTAAAACATGAAACATTCTTGTGTTTTTTGTTTCTTTGTTTTTAGTACTATAGGTCCAATAAATATACTATTGTTTTTAGTTAGTGTTATTAAAACAGAGTCAATTTCTTTGGTCATGCATATTCTAAAATCAGAGTGAAAATTAGAGTGAATCATTTTATTCAATACAAGGCAGATTGTATTGAATGAAATGATTTATTTGGAAAAGATCTGGAAGTAAAATCAATTAACCAAGTCTAAATTTTGGTTATGGCTACTAGCACCATTATTAGTATCTTTGTGAAAAGTATAGCTTCATTCCTCCCTGAGCCCAGTTTTATCATCTCAATGTATACTTGTCAGTAGTCCCTCATAATGTGTGACCAAGAATAGAAATAAATGATTTGCTATCACTATTTAGTCTTGGTAGATGAAAGTCATTGCAGATAGGAAAATATAAATATGAAGAAAAGATTTGAATAAATATATATTCTGATTTAAGAAGAAAAACATTCAGTTCTTTAAGTTTTTCACACTAGTAAATGAAAAATATTTGAAAAAAAAGAAGAAAGGAAAATTATTTTTGCTAATTCAAAGAGACTGGTTTTCTTTACAGAATTTCTTCATTGTATTTCTTTATGTTTTTGCTTGGTGCAAATTCTTATCAAAATTTGTACTTCTATAATTCAAAAAGTCTTTAAGGGGAGCAAAATATATTTGGGACCCAGAGTATAGCACTGGAATTATTATTATTATTATTTGATGATTATATTCCAACTGTGAATTACAAATTTTTTACAGCATCAAACGTTTTTTGAAGAATGTAGCAGAAATATCATTACCCAAAATATTTTAAGAATAAAAAATACAAAGTATATATGAGAATTTATCCCATGTTTAATCATGAGATGGTTTTCATAAAATGTAATAAGATAGTGTGAAAGAAAACTTTTCATTTTAATCCTGGAAGCTAAAAATAGCTTCCAGGATTAAAATTTCTTTGTAATATGGTGTCTGAAGTTTTGAGATAAAATATTGCCATTTGATTAATTATTCTATCTGATAGCATGTAAAATCACCTTTTTATTTCAGCACGGAAAATAGGTATTTACAGGTAAGCATCTAATGTTATTAAAATATGTAACAATATTTCAGCAGAAAATAAATTAGACAAAACTAGAACAGCAGGAATTTTTTTTAATAATAATAAAGTCATACTTTATAAGATTTAGGTAAATATCAACAGACCAGATAACTAGAATTCACATATCAAATTTGGAGCTATTTTTGAAGGGAGCAAAAGTAGCTCTGCTGAAGATGGTATACACATTACCATCTTCACCTTTGATGTATATAAAATTGTCAGTGTTGCTATAAGATATTTTTTTCATATTCATGTGTATAGTTCTCTGATATTTTTCTCTTCAGAATCAATGATTCTATTGCCCAAATTTATCAAAATTTAACTCAGTAATGATTTGTAATGGGGAAACTAATGAACTCTCCTAACAGGAAAAGAAGCTCCATATATCATACACACTGGGTTGTTTTTGTCATTGTACAGACGCAGCATACAATTTTTGAGACCTGTATAAACCAACATCACAATGTATGTAAATTCTCCAAAATGACCAATGCTTGATGTCCTAGGTGAATAAAAGCCCAGTGCTGTTTGCTGAAGAGACAAATTCCAATATGTGATAATTTCTAGTGAAATGAGTGAGTTACAGAATGAATGTTAACTATTGGCAAAGAACATTGAATACACTGAGGACTTTTACATGATTCTATATGCAGTGAAAAACTCAATACCTTCCAAGGATAATAAATATAGCTCATAGATAATTTTTTTAGAAGTTTGGAATTGTTGTGTTGTTGAGTGTACTTATCTGTGTAAAATAAGAATGAACATCAATTCAAACCTTTATAGATTTTATTTACTATTGGATAACAGTAGATGTAAAACATGACCAGTGGATTACTGGTAGATTGATATGTGAAGATGTGAAGATGTGAAGATGTGAAGATGTGAAGATGTGAAGATGTGAAGATGTGAAGATGTGTGACTACCATCTTGAAAATCACTTTTCTTCTCTGTCATCCTAAGGAGTTCTGATCAAGAGGCATAACTTTGTTCCCATTTAGGGAGTGAATTAGCTCCCTAGTTATGATGTCCATCCTAACAGGAATATATGAGAATTTTTTTGCATCATTTGTTTTTTTATATGTGTACATTCATATATCATTTCAGATCTCGGCATCTCCACCTTCAAGTGTTATTTAAATGTTTCAAGTACGATTATTTTTGTTTTTTACAGTATATTCAAGTAAAGGTTAATAAATGTGATATTCATGTCATGATGTGCCATGAGTTCAAAATTGGCCATTACATTGCTAAAGCCACCTGCAACATTTTGCCAATGCTTGGTAGGTAGAGTTAGCTTCAAGACCATGTGTCATTAGCTCCAAAAATTTGCTGGTTGCAAGTCATCACTTGACAATGAAGAATTATGAACAGCTGTATTTGCCATCAAGAGTAATGCCAGACATGTAACAATCAGAAGAGATCTAACATGAATTGTGAAGAAAATGCAGAAATGAGTAGTTCTTGATTTGAATGATGTTCAGCTGTTTGAAAAGTTTAACACTTGCATTGTAGCAAGTGTTAAACTTTTTAAACTGTTTAACTTGCTTGTTTGTTTAAAATAATGGCCATTTTTCATAATTGTGTCATTACTACTAACGAAAAGTAGTTTCTGTATGATAAAAGCTTTCTTTGTGTTTATAAACATGCTAAATCAAATCTTCACTCCAAAAAGTCCCTCCTGACCATTGGCTTTGTGTTGTAATGGAGTAAGGATACCATCATAGTACAGTCTCTTATTTTTGTGATTTGGAGCTGATATGTCAAAACTAGAAAACATTTTGACCAACAGTGGTGAAATAGAAATAGGCTATTTTGCTGCAGGATAACCTTACACTTTACAAACCATTTTTTAAAACTTTTTTTTAATCAATTCACCCCTATCAAGGGGATAATGCCACTAAGATGCAAGGAGTTACTGTGAATGAGAAAACTTTATAAGTGTAATTCTAAACAGGAAAAAGGATAAACCTCTACTTCTGTTCAAAAGACCAGGAAGGAGTTTGAACCAGAAGATAAGATTTGGCAAAAACTGATGCAGAAAGGCATCAAGGTCCTGATCCATCCTCCCCATTTACAAACACCAACTGTGACTTTAGTCAACCAATCCAATGAATCCATCAACTCTCCTCAGTCTTACAAACAACACCCTTACACTTAATCGCTTCTCTTATCAATAGCAACTAAAAAATCATATATCAACAATTTTGCCATCTTTTCACACAACTATGTATATATGCAGAAAATTGATCAATACACACTGTTGAAATTTTAATCCTTGTTTGTTCTTTCCTTTGCAACCATACGTTCATTGTAACAGTGTTAAAATAATTAAGACTGTTGGTAGATAATAACAAAATAAGTAAATAACATAAAGATTTGGAGTAGAGAGGTAGAAATATGATTATAGACTTCTATCCCATTTAGTAATATATTTTTGTAGCCAAATTAGTTTATGGTATTGCCCCTGAAAGACAAGATCTCAGAATATGGTATGCAAGCTTAAGTTTTGTTAAAATATATTTCTATGGTTTACAGCCATACGGTGTTAAAACATTGCTTTCCATATAATCACCAAAGTTAAGTAATGTCAAACCTGGTCAGTTCCTAGATGGGTGATTGCTTGGGAATACCAGGTAGTGTAAGCTTGGATGTATGGGTGGTGTAATGGATAATGGCTCAGAATTGTTAATGAAAAAGCTGAATTCCAATTTCAGTTATGTTCGTTATATTCACTTATATACACTTGTATCATTAAATCATTATTATCTCAGAAGAAAAGAAAAGAAATTTATTTTTATAATCTAAAAATATTTTCTGGCTTTAAATAACCTTCAAAATGTTGATATGCCATAGAAAATGAATGAATTAATTAAAACCTTACTTCTTCTTTATTCTTACTTCATGTTAATAGTTTTAACAGTGAGAATTAAATCTAGAAAACTGTGATAAGAAGCACCAATAATATGAAGAACAGACCAGCCAAAAATTAATAATTAAAATATTTCATCACAATCTTTAAATAATTTATCTTTTATAAATTTATGAAAAAGTAAGAATAATGCTTTTTTGTACATTGTGTATAAATTCATGATTACACAAATCACTATTTAAAATTGTAAGCAATATTTTTATTTTTTTTTGTTTTCTTTATTACCTTGTGGTTAGATTCCTAAATTGCAGTAATAGACTTTTAAATTTTGAAGGAATTTGCTTGTAGATTTTTAAACTTTAAAAATATAAACTTGCTTGTAAATTTTTAAACTTTAAAAATATATATAGTTTTTTTGTCCTTCTATAAAACATTAAAAAGTAAAAAGAAGAAGAAGTAGCCTCTGACTAGATTTGAACTTGCATTCCTTGAGAACTCATCAAACATAACTAATGTCTTATTAATATGACCATAGAAACCAACAACAGATAAAATTCAAATTTAGTTATATACCTAGATTCTTAAGAGTTGTACAATGTGAAACAACTGGAAATAATAATTTGGCCTAATTCTTTTTGTTTTTAATTAAAATTTTAATTAAAATGATTCATCTGCACAATTTGAATAACTTAAGATTATTAAAGAACACATTGTCAATACTTACATCTATCTCTTTCCTATGACTTTCTTCCTGTAATGTTCTCTGTTTTAATGTCTGTGCAACACCAACTTCTGCACATTTATTTACATATTTAGACTCCATGATTGTTTTGGCTTTCATCTCTTGGACCTGGTCTTTTAAGTATGCAATCATTTCATTTCGATTCTGTAACTCTCTTTCCCTGTCCTTATGAATTTCTGATAATGATTTATTCAGTTCTTTTATATGCTGACGTCCACTTTGCTCCCTAAAAGAGAAAGAAATGCAAGGGTCATTTAAAGATAAGCATCAAAGTTATGTAAAACAACTCAGATGCAAGAACATAGCAGCTTATACCATTCCAGGGCAGCCTTGGGCCATGGACATAAGATCAAACATTTCTTTTTAATATGTTGTGAACATATGTCTATCAAATTTAGCTAAATACATCAGGGACCTGGAAATCCTAACCTTGTACTGTTTGCTTTAATCAAATAAAAATAAATGTCAAGACTTGCTGATCAAAATACAATGCACTGTTAATACTTAATTTTATACCGTTGAGATCTTAGTCTTTGTGTCACACACTTTCAGTTAACACTTTGGTAAGATTTAACAAGTTTGCAGATTGCTTGTGGAAATACTCTCAAATTTCTGTTCAAAATCTTGTACGCAGGAATACTGGTACCTTACACAATTCTCAGTACTCTTTTATTAAAATAACAGTTTGGGTTAAATTCTACACTAATATTAGCATCTTTCAGTCTTTATTGTCAGAATATACATTATATTTTTCTGAGAATTATGTAAATAAATATTGAAATATTAACAAAACACCATCTATCTATCTTACTTGTTGTTCAAATACTGATTCCCAACAACCAATTTTTTCTTAAAACTTGTCTAATGGAAAAGTTTATATGAACCACTGACTAAATCAGAATTTTAAAGTATCACATCATGCAATAGATTTCAGAGAACCAAAATCAGTAATGTTTACATAATTTGAATGCTTTCAAAAGCGAAAAATACACTAATTTTTCATTAGTGTTTTTTGATAGGTCAAATTGCATTTATGATATATGTACAAAAGTCCACAACAACATTTTTTTTTATCTAAAAACTGAGTACACAGTGAAAAAATGTAGTTTTCATAAAATGATGGAAACTTTTACACACCCCTAATATTTCCCTTTGGAATTCTCATAAACACATAATCAGCTATAAAAATTCCAAATACAAATAAAAATCTTGGAAAAATCAAAATATGGAATAACCACATGGTTTGAATATTTTTTTAAAAGAAAAAAAAAAGATCAGAAAAATAACAGAAAATCACATTGTTATGAAATAAATGTATTTATTAGTCTTTATCTTTTCTTATAACTTTAATTTCTTGCACCAATTTGCATTGGCAATAAAGTATATGATGGTTTTGTGACTGTATCACCAGAAATCATTTAGTATGAAAATTGACATTTTATCCAACTGAAATTGTCTTTCAAATTTGTTCATTGTTAATATGAAATTCAATCTGTATTGTTATTTGGTGCTTTTCTCAGATAATGAAAATATTTGTTACCAAAAGATTTGAAAGAAATATTTTTATGCTATGATAACATCAAATGCTAACCAAAATTTTTGTATTTTTCATCTGACTTTTTCAGTTGAGGAATAAATCATCATTATACATTGATCTATTCATATTAGTTGTTTTATTGTAATTGCGTAATTGTTATATTCAAAGTATTTTCAGCTATTATAATCTCTAGCTCTCTTCAGAAGTATGTGATATTTGATAATCTGAAAATTTAAAACTGAATCCTTTATTCAATCAACAAGACTGAAACAACCAATTATAATTTGTCTAAATAGGGCAGCATGAAAAAATAAAACTGTTACTCATTGATGAGAAAATCAATGAACACAAAATAATTTCCAAAACACAGAAATTCAACAAAGAGATTACAAAATTAGTTAATAATCTAGTCTAAATAGATGAAGGTATAAAAATGACAATTCCTCATCTACTCCTGTGGATTGAATAAAGGGTTTAAGTTCAAATTCCCAGGTGACCTAAATATAATAGATACCTGAAGATATGGTAGCTGAAATAATGTTACTACAAAAATGAGAAAACATAAAGTAGATCAAATACAATCAAATAACTGAAAAAGCATGTATTAAAACTAAGAAAAAATGAACATTTGTCTGTTTTTCTTTTTAATAGAAAAACAATATTTTTCTGTTAAAAATGTCGGGCAAATAAGCATTTTTTCTCAGTTTTATTAAAATGCTTTTTCAGTTACTTGACTGTTTTCTGTTACTTTGTGGAACAGACACCTACGTGGATGTTTCCTTGAACACTATAATGTCGGGCAAATATGCATTTTTTCTCAGTTTTATTAAAATGCTTTTTCAGTTACTTGACTGTTTTCTGTTACTTTGTGGAACAGACACCTACGTGGATGTTTCCTTGAACACTATAATGAAACTTAGAACCATTTTTGCCTTCTATCAGTATGGCTGATGCTAACCTTCAGGATAGAAAATCATTGTGCTTTCTTGGTCTCACATTTTTGGCTAACATGGAACAATTATATTGAATCAATTGGTACATCTGCTGCTAGGAAGGTTGGTTCACTGTGCCCTGCTAGACATTTTCTTTCACCTGACTCTATCTTGCACATTTATAAATCTATCATTTGTCCATGACCATATCTTGAGATTCTTGACAAAATCCAAAGAAGAATTGTCAAGCTTTTCAGTCCTGACATCTCAACTTCAGTCACTTTCCTACCACTGTAACATAGCTTTTTTTTGCATCTTAAATAAAGATTTCCATGATAATTGTTCCAATGAGCTTCCCTCATTGGTATTATGACCACATGAATTTAATTGTACTACTAGATTGGTAACTAGGTCTCATTGTCTTACTGTTGAAATAACAAAATGTAATTAAGTTCTATTCCATTAGTTTCTTCTCTTTCACTTCTCACCTGAATTGTCTACTGATATTTTGTTTCTTGTGAAATATGATCTTCAAAAATTTAAATGCAACATCAATCACTATCTTCTGTCTTCCTAAATTCTGTTCTTTTATTTTCCTTTCTCATCATTAATGTTTTTTCATTCTACTTCACTCCCATTGTACCTTAGTAGCATTGTTGCCTTGCTTGGGCTGAAATGATTAAAAAAACAAAAATTTCCTTTGTATTACAATTGTAAGAGGGAAAGTACACTCAGGCAGCCTTTTCCCAAGAATTGATACTTTGCTGAAGAGGCCCCAGTATGGATGTTTCTCTGAATACTACAATGTCATGGGTTAATAATTATCTATTTTCCTTATCCTTATAATCTTCATTTCCTAGCACCTTCTCTTTCATTCATATCACATACCTCATTCTTCATAACAATTTTAACAGTAGCCCTCTACTTGAGTCTTGTATTTAGTAAACTTTAATCTAATAAAATGTTGTCACTGTGAAAAAATGTTCAATTAAAATTTTCAGCCTTCCCAAAACCATTTTAATTCCTGCTATAAGAATATTTCCACTACTCACAAATAAAACTTAGATATTGACTCATTGTATTATTTTCTACTAATAAGAAATAGGAAAGACAACTTGTCACAAATGACAATATAAAGTTGCAATCTAGAAATGTGTCCCAATGACAAGTTGCTGGCATTGTCATCATTAATTGATCACCATCTGTCAATTTTATTCTAGTCTTTACTGCTTTTGTGTCATTTGAAACTGCATCTTATCTCGCTCATTTTGTAATCAGGATATTTAACAGAGTCTGGAAAGTTAACAAATACTGTAGACACTAAAAGTGCTACAAAATTAAATTCATCATGAGTTTTCTTCTTTCAAATTAATTCTTCTGATGGATTAGAAATTAACAGACATGGATTTTTATATATATTTTTCATTTTCAAATGAACAGTTATTTTTTATTTACCCTATAGATAGCTGCTGGCACAAAAGTTTGTTGTGAACTTGATCTTCATCATATGAAAGATCTTTAAATCAATGCTGTTATATTCTTTTAATGCTTTTTCTTTACAAGTGGCAGATCAGACCAAAAATGGGGTGTTGCTGCTATAAGTGCACCTCACTGCCCAGCCTTGATTGAGTTCAAAAATGTTTATGCAGCCTTAAGACATTCTCCACTCTTCAACCTCATCCTAAGCTTATCATTAGTTTGTCACAATTTCCATGGTAAAAGTTCAGATGAACTCCATTGTTTAGTTTTATCAGTTCAGACTGTTACAAGCAGAACACGTCATGCCACTTCCATAGTGAAATCACCCTCATTTCTTTTATGTTCCAAAAGTAAGAAGAAAATTTCACTCAGACAGCTTTCCCCCACCCCAAGAACAAGCACTTTTTGGTAAAAGTACCTGCATGAGTGCTTCCATGAACATTATAATCTTAACTTCTTGAAGTCAAGAATCAATTGCTATCTATCTTCTTTTTTGTCATAATCTTTACTTCTTGCTACTCCTCTTTTATTCATATCAAATACCTCATTTATCTTTACAATTTTAACAGTAACCCTACCTTGAATGACTCTCAAGCCTTATATTGCATGAATTTTAGAATTAAAAAATATTCATACTTCCATATTTACATATTTATATAATATATAACACAGCAACCCAAATACATTGGTGGAAAGGTAATCAAGAGTCACTATTAATTCACTGTACTCCACCATGCTGAACTAGTCTTGAAAAATTAGTATGCTCTGCTTAATTTGTATTGTACCTATAGACATTTTATAAGTATTAACAACTCAGATATTGTTACATTCACTCACATTTCTGATAACAGAAAATATGCAGATTAAATATAAATATACATTTTTAAACTTAATAAACAAAATAAATAAAAATAAATACATTAGGTTAGCAAAAAAAAATGGAACTATAAGAACACTGAGACAGTCAAGCAAGATATACATCATTGGTGTCAGTTGAGCAATAGCTGGGTCTAACCCTGTTTGCAACTCATAATGGCTGCATATACAAACAACCAGAATAATAGTATAATTCTTTGGCACCCTGAGAAAATAAAGAGCTTTCTAAAACAATGCATTATCTTCTATGAGAATGACTTGCACAAAAGATAAAT